TTTTATTTATATAAATTTAATATTAATATTTATTTTTATTTTAAAATGTTCTTGATCATATATCATTTACAATTGATGCGTAGATATTAGCTAATTATATTACTTTTTTAGAAATTACAGCTCATTGGATTTTAAAAGAATAGGAATTAGTAAAACTTTTAGTTGATTTTATAAATTGAATGGAACTCATTCTGGAGAGAATTTAGCGAAATCTTTTATTAATTGCTATAATAAATTTAAAATTCTAACAAAAGTATGTATATATTTTTAATTTTTTAAAATTTAAGTTATAATTATAATTTATAATTAATTATATTATAGATTTGATGTTGTATAACTGATAATACCAGAAATAATAATACCATAATAGAAGAACTTGAAAAAGAATATCAATTACAAAATATTAATTTTACTAAAAAAATAATCATATTCGATGTTTTACATATATTGTAAATTTATCTGCACAAAGTACATTTATTTTTTTAAAAGCTAATTGTTTAGAAAGTGAAATTAAAATACTTCATAATAAAATAACAAGTAGCATAGTTTCAAAGGTAATAATATATATTTTTTTTAAATTTTTTAAATTTTTAAAATTAATTTATAATTTATAATTTATATTATATTTATTGATAATATAGCTTTGTAAGCTTATTGTTAAAATTAGAACTTCACCTTAACATCATGAAAAAATTTTATGTCAATGTAATGCAGCTTTTTTTCCTATTAAAGAACTTATATTAGATATAAAAATAAGATGAAATTTTACTTATGATATGATTAAACGTAATTTTGAATTACATGAGGTTAGTATTAAAAATTCATTATTATAATTAAATTTATAAAAATTTATTAATAATTATTATAATTATTAAAGGCTTTAGATAATACAAAGAACATCTGAATAGAAATTAAGATTATATGTTTTAAATAATTATAAATAAAATTTATTAAAAGAAATAGAAAATTTATTAGAAATAAGAAATAATATAATTAATTTATAATATTTTTTTTTAATTAATTTAATTTATTTATAGTATTTTGCATGAGCAACAAAATATGTTTCACATAAAAGTTTTTCAACTTTAATAATTACAATACTAACCTATAATTGGTTAATGAATATAATTGAAGATTTTCAAATAAAAATAAATATTAATATTAAATTTATATAAATAAAAATAAAAAAAAATAATTACCTGTAAAATATCTTGAATTTTTACATATTCTTGATTAAAACATTTTATTATATCTGTATGAATAGTATCAGCTGAAGGTATTTTAATATTAGAATTTAATATCTGAAATAAATTTTGCAAGTTTTCTGATTCAAGAGTTAAAAAAGGTTGATCATCACAAACAATCTATTTAGAAATAAATTCACGAAATACAGCTGGAGAATACTATATAAATTATATAAATTTTAATATTTGATAAATATATAAAAACATTTTTAAATTAAACTTACAGATGGT